TGTGGCAAATATATCAGATTGTTGAGTGATGAATACGAATTTTAGAAATTGGAATTATAAAACATTCAAATTTACACGAGTAAGATGAGTATAAGAGACAGCCCATCAAATGACACTATAGAATGGCAGATACATAAACACAAATTCATTGTTTTGGTTGACGCGAGCCACGACATTTGGGTGAACGAGTTGTATGAACCCTCAGCTTCATCTACATTAGTATTTGGTAAGTTAAAATCTATTTTTACATAATTATTCTTCCTTTATTAATTGATATTACATTGCAATGAATCGTCGCTTACATCACGAACTAACACAACCAAAGTAGATTGTGTTAGTTCGTGAAATCACAGTAGCGCGTCAAAACGAGTGCGTATTGGTTGTCAAGCAATTTTGTATTCTTTACCACACAAAAAGTCCTTAACGACAACAGCGCGTATTTTGACGCGCTTTTTTGATTTCACGAACTAACACAATTGAATTTAATTGTGTTAGTTCATGATGTGAGCGACGGAATAATCACAACTGATTTCTTTGAGGCGATCCCTTTTTCTTATAATGTACTTAAAAACGTAGTTATCAATGAAGTTAATGATTTTTTCTTAAACTTTCATATACATATATATTAAATGAAATTAATTTTAATTTCTCGTTGGTTACAAAGTAAACAAATTCATTTCTCTAGCAATGTATTGTATCTCCCTTTTTCAATCACGTTTGTGCCTATAGGCCTAACCGAAATATTTGAAACAAGTGTCCCGAACAGAACAGACTCAGCAACAACATGAAAATATTCTCAGTGTCCTGAACGTAAAATTGAAATCTGTACGGTAATCTCTTTACAAAATAATGTTTAACGTACTAGTAACAAAAAAACTCGGACGCGGGGTTTTCTGTAGTATCACTCGTCTACTTTGTATTGACATCGCGTACTCTTTGCGTAAGATACTTCAAATTATTATCATTAAAATGGAAGACCTAACTGAATCCATAGAATCTTTAAATGGAAGTGCTCAGCAGTTGTTCTCTTTCTAAGCCCATAGTAGTCTTTTTACATCAATTTTAAAGATAACATGTTTCTAATATTTGTAAGGAATGATATGGCCAACTTCACGAATTGGAGTTACGTTCTAACCTAACTGCTGGACATTTAGTATGATTACGATGTTTAAGATGAATATTTTACAATTACGTTTGTTTATATCCTTCTAAATTCCACACCTCATATAAAGTAATCAGAAGAATTTTTGTTTCAAAATAATTTTCCATAATTTTAACAGAATCAATTTTATTCTTAAATTAAAGTAATAACAAAATAATGAATGAATACAATCTTGCTTTATTAGACACTTAAGACGAGATTCTACAGAAATACAATACCACGAAGCATACGCACGCAAGGGGTCGTTTTACGATTCGTTCATACTACCACCGAAAGCAGATGGCGCCGCGTCTATCACTCACAGCCGGAGTTGGATTCGTCTGCCGACGGTCTTACGACCGTCGTACGACGCAGTGAGTGGCCCGGCTTAAAGAAACTTTTTTAATGTTAGCACCTAATATCCATTGCTTTTAGGATGTCATAAATAATTAAAGGAGGTCTAACTTCGTTAAGTTTTAAAAATAATATTGTATGTTAATATTGTCAAAGGGCCGTTTAAACAAACACACAGTAAAGTTTTAACCGTTTTCTCGTTGAGGCGTTTTTAACATGAGCGACGAAGATAACCATAGAACATACGTGAAAATAAACATAACAAACTAACTGTTTAATAATTAAATAATTATGAGGAACTTTTAAAACCAATCGCTCATATTATTAACATATCCTTTGAGAGTGGATCATTCCCTGACCAACTGAAGCTAGCAAAACCTGTTCCAGTATTTAAAAAAAAAAGTAGGCCTAAGCAAAATATTTTTGTAAAGTAATTACAGTACATGCTGATATCTCATACTATGTTCATCTATGATATTATGAGAGGGCAGTATATGACCAGACAATGTCATTCTTAACTAAATATAATGTTCCTAGTATGGTACAATCTGGTTTAGGAGAAGGACATTCAACACTGTACAAGCACTTCTTCAAACTCGAATTTAGTTGTGTTCAGAAGCGTTTTGGGTTGTCACTTTTTTCTTTTTCTTCCTTTCTTTAATTTTTACCTTCCAAACTAAAGTGGGGGGGGGGGCGTGGCCGGTCTGGACCACCCACTCCTCCACCCCTTAATTCCGCCCCTGGATAACAATATAGGTTATTTGTACTAGGCGTTTGTTTTAGATTTATCTAAAGGGGACAATTTTCCGTGAAACGATGGGCAATATATCTTTTAACACTACAGCCATCCCTATTAAGGGGACACCCCTATTAAATTTAAACTTGTTTTTTTTCAATTGTATCACAACATCCACATCACTCTAAAAATAAGACACCAATAAGACACCTTTTGTGCGATAAACCTTAATCCATGTCACTGAAAAATATCAGTATAGGCCTACTGCATGTGTTAGTTCGTAAACCAATCTTGTCAATTTTGACAGTGACCCTTCACAATCGGATTTCTTTTTCTTTGTTTTTCGTGTATTTTATATAGGATTCCCATCCGTATCAAAACATATTACTCTATTCATGCTACATCAATCTAATTTTATTTTTCATTATGTTAAATCTAAATATCACCATTGGGTTGTTGGCTGGTGCACTCATGTTCAAAGCAAAAAACATGATTGAGACACTTATTTTAACATGCATATACTGTATCTGATTTTACTGTTTTACGATGAAATGAGTAAGATAGAATTGTAATTTATATTGAAACTCCATTGGAAGTTTAGCAAGGTGCCGTATTTATGTATTCTAAACATGTGTTTCCATTTCTTTCAGAGTGTGAGCTCAATCTGCAACAAGAGGCCCGATCACTTTCTGCATCTGACGTGTCTGAACAACCATGGGCTTCTCCTTTTTCTTTACTGAGCTAAGTCAAAGTCTTCTCTCCGACCGAATGAGAGCCATTCGATATGTTGATGATACTCTTAACCGAATCGCTTTTAGAAGAACGCTAAAGAAAGATATGCCTCAGCAGAATCTTTCTCTCTCAGATTCCCCAGCTGAAGCGATCGTGTCACTCTCTTTGGTGTACAGGCTTCCTCAGCCAATACTTGCTTCGGATGAAACGGTTGAGCGAGAAAGGTCTCTACTCAATAAAGCCATGACAAAGCAATATGACAGCAAAACATCGTGCTTTCTCCAAACTATGGATGAGGTCCTGAGTCAATCAACACTTTCAGGAGACGAAGTACTGATATCGGAGAGGTTCACGTACCTCGAGATGCCATTCAACTGGATTCCAAAGTACACTGCTGTTTTCACCCGTCGGACAAATCTAGCAGAATACTGCATCTGTTTACCTGGCTTTTTTGTAAGACCCAGTAAGGTTAGAAAGGAGACTGGGTCCGAAGACATCTTTTACGAGGAAAATGTACCAATTCCTCAACTTGGCCTAAAATATGTTGGGAGCATTGCCAAAAGCCTCGCGACCGGCTTGATAAATGGCGTCGCTGGAAAACTTGGCCTGTTCATTTTTGAAAATGTCTTTCCCCCTGGAGTTCCTAATTACTTTGAGGCCGTTTACGTGGAAATTCAGAAGATAGTTAAACAGGAGCTGACTCAAAATACGATCGACGAAGTGAACGGTGAAATAAACGGCATAAAACAATGGGTACGGAACTCTTACCTTGCTGCCAAAGAAGGGATCACAGGTGACCCGACAGACAAAAAGAAAAGACTGACCGAAATGCTGGAACCAAGAGATGCTCAGATCGTTACCAAGGTTCTTGGTTTGCTGATGACCGAGAGGTACGCCAAGCCTGGCATCTGTGTCTTCATGATTGCCGCTGGCATGCACCTTACAATTCTCCAAGAACTGGCATACGTTGATCCCACTGTTTCGTTCCCAGAATCTTCTCATTACTGTTTGTCGATCAAAAAATACGCCGCAAGTTACGCTAATTTTGCAAAAAGCAAAGCACAGAGTATCCTTAACCAGCGATTATCAATGATCCACTCAGGAGAAGAGTCCCGCTACGATGATATTACGAATATGTTTCTCGACATTTTCTGGTGGAGGGATGATTACACTGGAGAGAGGAGAGAATATTCCAGGTACGAAGACAGCAAGGGAACGACCAACCCGGACGCCGACAAACAACGCGACCGGGATTTGGCAAACCACAGAAATTCCGTATATGCAGATCTTAAGAATGATATGCAAGACCCAGAGACGACAGCAGATTTGTGGCTTAAATTGGTTACTTACCCGCTCCCTGGCATAACTGATTAAGGAAGAAGCGCAAGGTGATACTCACTGTAAGTGTCATGACCAACAATATAGAACTGAGAACGATCTTCTGAATAACATACACGAATTTGTGTCAAAACCATATTTATGCATGTATAATGTGTAAGTTTTAATAAAATATACAAGAATCGTTACTTTTCAGTTTATTTAGAAAAAATATGTAGCAACTGTTATTCCTGCATTTATTAAGCAATATTATAATCATTTTTCTTTACTTTAGAATGAAATGAATTTGTGTTTAATATCCCAATAATCATGATAAAGAAAAATATAAAAACATGTAGTCTACTCGCTTCTAGTATATTTAAGTACAGTATTACAATTATCATTAAATTATCAAAGTATCATCTAATGTTTTAATAAGAAATATCAGAGTTTTCTAACTGCAGGCCCATACGCCTGTAGTATAATTTAAATCCATACATTTTTCTGGTTTATATTTAAGTGTATTACAATACTCATTTATTATCCAAGTATCATTTAAAGTTTAATAAGAAATATTAAAGTTGTATAACTTCAGTTTATTCTGTTATCCATACATTAGAATCTTATATTTAGAATTATATCTACGATTGCACTTTTTCATTATTTATAAAAGTATCCGTTTTCCACTAGGCGAATCAAAGCGTCGGTTTGCTTCCTGAGCCCTAATTGGTTGCGCATTTTTTCGCTTCGCAAAAACTCCCATAGGAATGTGAACACGCATGTGCATGAACCGACGCTTTCGATTCGCACGAATAAATTCGCCAAGTGGAAAATCGGCTTTAAAGGTAGATTCACACCGAATCCGAATGCGGTTTGTAGAACGTTTTCGATGCGCGTCTTTGTACGCGCCTCTATTCTTTACCACTGATTCGATATTCTTTTTTCGTTTCGTTAACCATCCAATTCGGCTTCGGTGTGAATGCAGCTTTAGCCTATCATGCACGCGATATTCCTGCCCCTGGTTAACTGTGACAAGATAAATGAAATTATGACATTGGCTGGAGCAAATGCTACACCCGAAATAGTGGATATGTACACGTAGAAATATTTTTCTAAAATCGGATTCAACACATTCGTTGGCACACCCCCTTAGCTAATTGCCTTTCTAGTTGAGGTAAGAAAATATTATTAAAAGTAGGCACCTGAAGATGCTCTGAAATAGCACTCTTGGACTTTTTTACATTCTACAATTACTTTGCAATTTACTTTTCTAAATGTAATGATATTTACATTAATTCTAAATTATGCTATGATGAAATTATGAGTAGCATTTAATGCTACGGAGGTGCAAGTTATGCCAAAAAGCATATGGCCATTATGCCGATTGGAAACTAATTCTATAGCTATGTGCAGAAAACAAAGCGCGTCAAGTAACATATGGCATTATGTAGATGTTATATTTAGAAACAACGTATTAGCCTGGATGCAGTAGGAAATTGGCGGGAAAAAAGTAAAGGAAAATTAATTTTTGTTTTTTCTGAATCAGTATATCATACAGTGTCTCAGAAAAAAATTCCCCATTCTTAGAGCTTGGGAAATTATTTTTACAGCGCTTTAAAATTTTGACATAAAATATCCTATTTTGGGCTAATTAAGATGTGGGTAAGGGAAATAAATGTATGTTTTTAGTCACTTTTACATATGCTATGTATATCAAATGTAACAAGGACTTAGCTAAATAGTTACTCCTCACTCTCGTTAAAAAAATTAATCAGAATAATGACGCCATCACAAAAAATTCTAAGATGGCTGCCAGTTTGGCGGTAAAACTCTTTTAAAATGTAAATTTAAAATTTAACTTTATTGCTATCAGAGCAATTCCAAAACAATATATATCCATACACACACACACACACACACACAC